AAAAAAATAATAATTCATCAAAATTTCAAACTCTTTGTATGCAGTTTTGTAGCCCAATAAATTTTAGTGTAATAAATGCTAGTTTCAAGTTTTTAAAAAATCGCGTTGATTTTTGGTAATTTTTTTTTTCTTTAAGGTGCTATGCGTAGTACTTACAAACAAAAAATTTATGTTCGCGAATTTGTTTATATGACAATTTTTTATTTATAACCTTTTGTACAAAGTTTGAAAATAAAATTTACGCAAATTTTGTGAAGAATATGCTAAAGTTTTATAAAAAAGTAACGATTATTAAATAAACAAAACGAAAACTGCCAATTCAAAGGATCAAAAGAGGGTCCGTTCTAGTGGCCGGTACTGTATCGGCAGCTAAGATCAGAAGAAGTTATTACTTGTTTTTTTTGCAAATATTTGCAAATTTAATTTGGTGTTTGTGGCATTCTGTAATCATGTCGTTTGATCTTCTTCCTTCTAAACCAAAACTTTTTCAAGCATCTCAATGGCTGCCCTGTAGAGGGACTCAAATGTATAAACTTCAGGCATGACTCAATGAGGCATACTAGTGCTAGTGTATTTGAATTTGAAAAAAAAGTCGCGAACAGAATTGGCGAGAGGGAATGATATTGATTATCGCCCTTATTGCGAACTCCATGTGAACAAATATTCCCAAAAAAATTATTTGTTTTTGTTTTGCATATTAAATTATGGGAACGATTTATTCACATAGAATGGGCGATATGGCGATAATTATGTTCACTCACGGTTCTAAAATGGCAAATGGAGAAGGTACTGGAATTTGTTAACAGAAATTGAAAATGGCCGCCCGATAAGGTTGTGGTACTATGAAAAAGGTCACGCTATTCCAAAAAACAAAAAAAAAACGGTAAAAGTAAGCTCGTACGTAGGTATGTTGACTATCAAGTAAAACAATTACATAAAGCGCCCTTCGCAGTAGGAAAGCCAGCCGCAAGACTGACCACAATTAGAAGGCTGCAGATCTATTGGATAACCAATCCGACTTTTGGACAGGTCAAATTGCACGCAAAGGCCACTTGTACAGTGAAATAGATAGTCCCGGAGTAGATAGGATCCAGCTATGCTAAAGTTCTGCATTGCCAAAAATGGATAGAAATGCTTGGGGGTTTTGAAAATCCAAAACTTAGACGACAATTTAAAAGTAGATTTAGATTCACTGCTAAAAGCTTTGGTATCCTATGTGATGATGTATACTTGAACTTACAAGAAGTGAATACCATTTGGCATGCTTAGAGACCAAGTCGTCTATGTGTGGCTTAATTCCCAGCCTAAGCTCAGTTTGAAGAGTTCCACAAAAAACCGAAAACCAAAAGTATCCTTATTTGCATTGAAATTGATCACTTCAGCGACATTTGGGGAATGTTTAAGCTGTCAAAACAACAAAATAAACATCAATGCATGAATCGTGAGTGACTTTCTTAAAATACTCGCATGGCAAAATTCTTGGTTCGGTGTTTGGATTTTGCCATCGATTGCACATCTGTCTCATGCACACGTCAAAGATCCAAAAGTGAAGAGTCCGCTGATCAACAGCAATTAAATGCATAAACAAATGGTAAATTTCCTCATTTCGGTTAAAAACCTGAAGAAGTGATATCCATCACACACATGTCTACTTATTTACAAATCTGCTGTCGCAACATACGTAGCACGTGCGGAAGTAAACCATCTCAAATTCATCGAATTTCTTCATAACTGTAAGACATGTTACTCGCTTTGTTCACCATCTGCTGGCTGCTAAATACATATTACCGGTTTGCGGTTTGCATGCATTGACAGAAATTTGACAGCTGTCAATCATTTCGTTTCTTCCACAGCGTCACCATTCATTGGAAATTTTGCTTTTATCAATTCAAAGAGTTAAAATGTATGATACTGTGAAATTCATTTGGAAATTTCTTTACAAATGAAAGTGACACGTGAACATTGACCTAAGCAAAACTGCCTCTCAGAGATGAAGAAGAAGATGAAGAATGAAAAGAAAGTGTGTTATGTTTCATTTTCAAAGGAAATGGAAAAGCAATTATCGTTGAAGTCTTTAAAAAAAAAAAAAAAAATGAAAAGATAGACACTGAAAAATAAAAATTAACGCAATGCAGCCACGTGCTGTTAAAATTGCAATTATTAGTTGGTACTCTTTCTACTTTATAATATATTTAAGGGGCAAAAAATAGAAAATATTATCTACTTAATGGGCTGTTTTTCAGATGTGCACTTTTGGAAAAAATGGGGATGCAATATTTTGACCAGTTGTGTGTTTTTTTTTTAATGTTTATTAATTTTCTATAAGAGTGTAGTAGTTTGTAAATATAACAAAAACCATATAAATAAATCCACATTTCAAACTTTGTACAAAAATTAGATTGGTGCAACAAATTTTCACCAAATTTAAAACTTTTGAATCAGAAAGTGTAGAAAAAATTTTGCCGCAAATTTTTGCCGTATTCCTATTATTTTTTTCCAACAGTGCATTTTTAGAAAAAATTGGATTTTAGTTATTTCATTGATCTTCTTCCGAAATGTCTTGGAGTAATTTTCCCTAAGACCGATTACGTATTTAATTAGGAAATTTACAAGACGTCATAAACATTTTATGCTTTGAAGTCGTAAAATTTTTCAATGTAAACAACGGCTAAAATAGGTTTTCGGCTGAAGAGTTTAATGACTTTAAGACATTCCGCCGCTTAAGTCGCTAAGTCGCCTTTTAAGTACCTCATAAGAATATTCATATTCCTAAACAACATAAATAACATGAATAAAGTATGGAGGGCTAAAAAAAGCAGAAATTAAAGTTGTGATGATAATTTTAGCGCTAATACTGGAAATATATCCACTCAGCAAAGAGATAAGATAAACCTTTTTAATACTGCTCAAGTTGATGGCTCCTTTACTGGGAGTCCATTGTATATTGCAACGTAGTGGTAGAAAGGTTGCCTATGACTCTTGTAAAGTCTAACGAGAGGGCCAACGAGCTAATATCTATCTACTTAGACGCTTGCGCCCCGATGGATGCAACAAATCCTTTGCAGCAAAGTTTACCATTGTACACGTAACCGCACGAAGATAACGCCTGAAAATGTTTACTGGTATATAGAATTGCAAATAAGTCAATCCGAAACAAACTCACCGGCTTCTTACTGTGCTTTAGAAGACTATTCCTAGCATTTCGGGTAGTAATTTTAAGGAGGAAGAAACTGGTAGTTTTAAGATAAAAACCTCAAGGGCGGTATGCGAACCTTTCTCAGCGATATTCAGCAACCGGACCTACAGTGAGGAACGGACTAAAGAATTATGTAAAATAATGCTTAATTGCCGCAGGTTCTTGCCTAAGTATCCTTACGATAACAATTAATTTGGCATCGGACGGCTGCGTGAAAGATCGCTTTTCTTCAAGCTTCAAGCCCACAAAATATGACACACACATATACCGACATATTATACTGATAGTTTTCGGTTTTTATAAAATTTTATAAAAAAAGAATGCCGCCCCCATTTTTGTTCGGGGTTTATATTTACGATATGCACTTATGTATGTATGCTGACAGCAAAATTTAAAAATTATTCAAGTGCATTTTTTTAAAGTTCGTCCTCATAACATAATTTCATTGAAAAATCATAGGAGTTCCTGAGTTTCCAAATCACCATAAGTCGAAACTTTCACGAAAATTATGAAAATTTAAAAAAAAAATTTAATTTGGTTAAATCCTACCGCTAATTATATGAAGTAAAGAAAACTTTGGCTTTTGAGTTCATACAGATATTTGATGGGAAAAATGTGTATTAGCTCAAAAATCCAATTTTTTTCATAAAAAACGTATACAAAATTACTTCGGTTGTATACAAGGAGATTCGTGCTAATTTATGCATACTTTAAAAAAGTTTAGCGCAATTAAAAAATATTGAAAAATAACATTTCTTTCCGAGGATAAATGTCTCTCTCCTATTATTTTCAAACATAATTTTTACACAAAGGTAATATAAAAAATAAATCAAAAAGCACTATACTTAAAGTACTAAATTTTACCTTAATTTATTTAGTTAAGATCTTATGTCACGTTATACATATTTATCTTAAATTTGTATTAAATAGTATTTTTTTTTATAATCGCACATACCTGTTTGCAGCGCTTTGAAAGACTTCTGCATAATTTCTTATAGAATGGCGCCATTTTTGGTGTATCAAATCGTTCAAGTTCAGTGTCAATAATTTTATAATAAACCATGTATGCTTATATTTAAGTTTTCACACGCTTCAAAGTCAAAAAACTGTGTTAGAAAATTAAATTTCAAAAAGTTTCTTGCAAATCGGGAATTCAATCGTAAATCACTTTTTTACATGGCATCGAAATGCTCCAAATTTAAACAAATACACAGTGGAAGCGAAAGCAAAGAAAATTTCGTTAAATTTTATCAGTTTAAAGTCACACACGTCTCTTAGAGATCACTCGGGAAAATCTTCAAAAAAAAAAATTGTCTTCAAAGATAAAACTTGTCTTCGAATAAACTGAATTTAATCACACTGCCCAATAAATTTTCTCTTTTTGCTTTGAATTTTCTGCGCAAGCAAAATATTCAAGTATACCGTTGCGTTGATCGTACGTAACTGAATGTGGCGATCAGTGCAGTCACTGCTTTTATGTGCCTAAACGAAAACTCGCGCCTTGAGCGGGACACGTTTGTTTTGAGTGCGTAAATGAGTGAAACTCAAAGCAGAACAGAGGAAAATGCCGAGGAAAATTCGGACAAAAGAAACGCATTCATAACAAATAAAAGCGTCGAGCCATTTATTTTCTGAAAAAAAAAATATATATATATGACTGACTCAATTCATCGAAAGATACACAAAAATTATCTTTACAATACAAATGCAAATGCTCACCACACTTGAATATGTGTGTAGTATCTACCTGATAGTCTAGCGGTTAATAATCGTGGTATTTGTGAAAATTTTCGCTTGTACTTACTTGTTGCACGACAATGGTGGCACGCGGTGGCGCACACACCGCCACATCCATTGGGTTCGAAGTGACGTTGATGGGCCCAGCACCACCGCCACCGCCAGCGCCGCCTGCTCCAGCTAGCAGCATCATGCTTACGCCGCCACCACCAGCTCCCCTTTGGCTGTCATCCAAAATGTCATGCGTTATGTCGGTAAGGCCAGCTTTGACTGTTGACGATTTTTTTTTGGACGATCGCTTCCGCGGATGCATCATTTGTGACTCGGCAAAAAAGTCCACACGTAGATTTGGCATCGGCGGCGATATCATGCCGCGCAGTGACCCGGTTGGGCTCGTAGTTGGCGCCACGGGGCCCACTGTCATGCCACAGTTGTTGTTGCCACTACCATTTGTCGCCAACACCGCCGCCGCCTGCAGCGCGCTGCCAATCAACGCTGCATTATTGTTGCTGCCGGATGGACTGCCACCCGTCGTCTTGGCATGTGGCTGTAGTTTAGGTGGAATCTGCTCAAATTTCGAGGCGAACTCCTCGAACTTATTCAACTCACCAATGGATTTGGGTGAATGCTGTCTACTGCCGAGCCCACCGCCGCTGCCGCCTACACCGATCGCCGCATACTCGCTGGGCGATTGTTGTTTGACCTTCTGCGGATAGAATGCGTCCGTCTGCGGCACAAACGGCTGAATTTCGCGTATTGTCGCATGGATAACGGAACTGGGCCGGATGCGCTTCGAATTCTTGCGTGACGGTGGTCCACCCACCAGCGCCTCCAGTGGCTGCTGCACCTGTTCGTGCTGTGCCAGCAGCTTGTATTGCTGAAATGCTTCGCCTGTTTTACTGGGCGAAATGTGGTGTACGGACATCTTGCGCTCATATACCGAACAGGGCTCTGCATCGTCTGAGTCGCTAGTCGTAGTTGCTGAGCTTGAGTTTTCATCGACAGCGAAGCATTCGCGTTGTATGCGATCGTAGTCGATGGCCTCACGATCAAACGGGAACATGGTTGAATCTTTGGTGCGGTCACGTCCGCGCTCACTGCCACCCGACGAAGAGCTGGAGGAATACTTGCGCTGCTGCGAGGCAGGCGACAGCTGCTTGGCGGTTTTGATCACACCGCTGGCAAAGAAGTGCGCCTCCTTCATGGTGGGTGGCGCTGAACTGGAGGGCGAGCGACGCTGCTCGCGCTTTGGACTGGTCGTCGCAGCGCCATTGCTGCCAGGTGGGTAGCGTTGGCGCGTGTTGCTGCTGGCTTCACGCGAACGTGATTTTTTGCTGCGCGTGCCTTCCAGAGATTCCTCGTCGTCGGCAAGGTGGTGCTGCTCATAGTAAGCTTGTGCCGCAGCGGCTGCGGCTGCATGCCGTTGTGCAGCATAAGCTCGATATTTGCTGCGGCTCGGTGAGTTATCCCGCCGCGTGGCGGTGGGACTGCGTTCCTCAATGAAATTGGTTGTGTGCATGCGTTGGTCTTCCCAATTGCTGCCGCGGCGTGGCAGCTGCGGCTGCTGCTGCTGTTCCTTGAAGTTAAAATGTGTGCGTGACTTTTCGGTTGTGCGCGCCGACTTCGGTGATGTTGGCGGATCGAAAGTAAAATGTTTGGTGCCACTGCTAGGCGCTGGTGCTGTACTCGGCAGTCGTTCTGCGTTGTTGGAGGTTGTTAGTTTGGCGGCGGGTGGAGCAGACATGCCGCATTTGTTGCTCTGTTGACGACGATGCGAGGCAAGGAGCGGTGTGGTTGAAGATGGCTCAATTGTGAGAATGGACAGCGATGACTCCTGACTCTGCGTGGTCAAAAATGGAAGCATAGAAAAGTAATAGGGAATTATTTCAAGTGTCAGATTTATAGTTAAAAAAAAATATAGATGTGTACTTTTTATGCGACCGGAACACACGGCGCATCGCATATCGACGGCTGAGTGTATGATCAATCCATCTCGGCAGACGGTTCAAAAACGCCCTATCTCAAAGATCGGCCCAAGAATGCCTACTTCAGAATTTGGTTGGAGAACGCTCTGTCTCAACTGAAAATATATTAAAAATAATCTATATGCGTTTTGGAACTGAATTCTGATATAAAGCGTTCTTGAAACATTATCTGAGATGATCTAGGGCCTTTTCGAACCGGCTGCCAAGATAGGTCGATCGTCTACTCATCCGTCAATATATTCTAAGAAAAGTATGTGTGATTTATTGCAAAATGAACTCAAAGTTTTTGCTCTTCTTTTGAAAATTCAACTAGAGTCCTTAAATTTCAGCTATAAAACCTAAATGAAGTAGTACTCTCAAGAGAAGCGACACGCTCAACAGAGGTTCATAAGACAATCTCTGGGTCCGGCAATATGTATAGGTCAGAAACGGCATTCAGAGTCGGGATTCGGTGTCGACTTACATCGACTGCCGATTTGTGAATGCCCTGTTAGGAGCACAACCATCCGACGTAGATGGGACAGAGCTTTGTCTGCCTCGGGAGCTAAACTCGTACCTGATCAGAGTGAATGCAGATGTGCACAATGAATGTCATGGCACCTTTTCGCATGGCCCCGAAACCCCACCCAGCTAATGCCCTGTCCCTATGGACAGACCCGGTGGAAGTTGAACACTTCCTGGGCCTACCTTTAGCTGAGCCTGAGGACAACTTTGATGGACAAGCCGACCCGTGTGGGATTTAGTAGATGCTACAACAACAACAGGAGCGACATGAATACGTACGTACATTTTAGAAGTCTTTTAGTTTGCTGAAGAAGTAGTAAATATGAAGGATTTTACAAAAACGTATTGAAATAATTCTATTTTTCGAGTACCCTATGGCAAATTTAAAAATTTGGTGGCATTTGGAGTAAACTGGGGGTGAAAATGAGTCCAGTTGGATGGCCTGCCTAAACCTGATTGTTAGATGAATTGCCTAAACTAAGATTGTTTGAACCGATTTCCTCTGAAGATCATGTGAAAAATAAACTTACCTACTAATTTCTATGAATCGGAATTTTCTTAATTAGTTAGGCTGTTGCGTAAGAGAAGCGAATACTTTTAACATTACACATAAGAACTTGCTTCACACCACAGGCGAGTTTTCGAGGCATTGCAGGAAAATATAATTAAAAAAGCCTTATAAGGCTAGGAATCATGGATCTTAACGGGTTTCTTCTGGAGTTTTTTCAAATTTTTAAAATAGAAAGCACCAAAATAAATTTATTTCGCAGTATTAGTTTTTTATGCTACCGCGACACTACAGTCTTTTTTGATGCACGTATAGATAAGAAACGTCGAGAGGTCATTCGGCTGAATGTAAATTAGATTGTATGTAAATTAGGTTGTGTGATGATCTTGGGAAGCGGAGTCTGGTCCTGCTGAGGGCTTCACAGTGGCAATAATTTGCTCTGCTGTTTCCGGTACTGCGTTGCACAACCTACACTGGTCAGGCTTGTATGTTACCTTCCATGTTTGTCCAGTAATTTTGCGTTTCGCTCTTCATCCAGATATAGCAGTTTCGCGCCTGAAGGAGCTCCATGGCAGACTAGTAAAGGGTCCTAGGCTTATAATACCTGTGCAGCCCTCTCCTGGCGAGAATATCTGCTACTTCTTTGCCCATGACTCCACCGTGTCCCGGCACCCATATGACCTATACCCCGTACCTGGGGGCGCTAAGTATTATAGCTGAAGGCAGTCCTACACCAGCTTTGAGGTGCGAGGTGCGCCGCGCTGTCCCACTTTCTATATGCTGCCTCAGACATACATAGTTCTATGGCTTGAACCTCGGCCTGAAAACAGAGTTACCTTGCCCCATGCTAGTGAAAAGAAGCCGTCTGTGTTGCATGCCGTAACCTTCTGCTCTGGATGCTCGGGATGGCAAAAAGATCTTGAAGTTTTGTGTGGGGTTAACTCTCGGAAGGCACACCAATTTATCCCGAGTTATACTCTAATAAATTATACGTGAAACATAAGTAGCTTTTTCACTCCTCCGTGCATTTATCCAGCAAATTTTTATTCTTGTTTACTTTATACAATTTTTACTAAGGCTATAACACTACCAAGCATACGAACGTTTTTTTTTTCTTGAATTCACTCTGGCATTCAATCAATCTCTCAAGTACTCCCACTCACTCACCTCAGTGCTATCCTGCACACTCATATCCGGTCGATTGTACATGTTGCAACTCGTTAATTCCAGTTCGGTGCCATTTTCATGCTCGGAGTCGATTTGTATGGCGGTCAGCAACGGTTCTTCCAGCGAACTGAACAACGGTTCGCTCTGGCCCGAATTATCGCCTGCAAGCAAAAAAAGAAGAGAAGAGAAAAGAAAATAAATAAAAAATGAGTGCAAATAAAAATAACGCAAATAGCAAAAGGGGAAGTGAGCGATATGTACGGCGCGGTTGCTTATTCAAAATCAAAGGGTAAAATGGAAATTAGAAAGCAGCAACAGCGTTAGCATTTAAATAAGTCAGTGGGTGGGAGAAGAAGTGCAAACTAAAGGAATCAATGCATGAATTAGAGATTTGCTAGTGAGCTGCTGGCTTTACTTTGTTTAGTTTGGTTTGCTTATCTGTTTTCATCAGCACTTTCATTTGTTGGGTCAGTCAATAGCTATACGACTACAACAAAGTATCGGATGCAGAGCATTTAACTATCAATCAATTAATCAATCAAGTCAAACAAAGTGTAATGAACAGGTGCTTTTTTTTGTCTTCTGCTTGGGTGCTTTTATTTGAGGCTACTCAGCTTTTCTTTAGCAAACACATCCGTTTCCTTCGCATAGGCGCCCAAGTTTACATAGTAATGAATTTTAATTGATGTACGTGGCGCTACATTGTACTCTCCTAATTGAATTGGCTAAGTGAGGCGTTTGAAATGTTTTAAAAAACAAAAAAAAAACGAAATATTCAAACCGAAATTATTTGCCTTTTGGGCTGTGCTTTGTGATTATTTATGCATATTAGGGTGCATCGCATATAAATTGAGGGTTTTGCGACGGAATTATAAAATCTATTATATTTAAGACTACCGCCAAAATATTTCATAAAAGTATTAAGCTTTACATGTACTACACCGATATGAACTTAGCTCCAAAAATAGCATTATTTTAATTATGTTGATAAAATTTTGAAAAAATTATTTGTGCAGCCTTTTAGGCTTAAAATCTTCTATCATCTGCGGGAAAACTAATTTTAATTATAAAAAAAAATTGAATTGTGGAGGTATTTTCAAATGGTTCACATAAATCGTATTCAAATATTTTCCCGATATACTATATTGGCAGAGGACTTAAAATATATTAAATTGTATAATTCCATTGGAAAAACAGAACCCATTTTTTTTTTTTGTATGGAGGTGATGCACCCTAATATATGTATACTTATGTACATTTATTAAACTGTACCATCTTACAAGCAAACAAAAAAGTAAGTTCGCCGAACATCCCATTTCGAAAAAAAAATTTTATTTTTGGCCTTTTTGCATCTTTTGGTGATCCCTAAATTTGGCAAATAAAATTAAATAGTTCTGCGACAAAAATCAAGATAATTCTTTAAAAAAAAACTTACGATTTTTGTAGGGCTTTAATTTACTGATATTAGGGTGCTACGTTAGGATAGTAGGAACTGAGATCTGGTTGGTAAGTACTCAGACGGGGGGTTTAAGGTCAATGCTCTATAGAACAAAAAATGTAACATTCGAGACAAGACCAGCGATATATTATGCTTCAAGATCCCACTGAAAATGCCGAAGATGTAACGAAAAATGTAAAAGCCAATCCTCTACGTTCGGTAACAAGAAAAAAATAATCCGAAATTGCTTTCGAATCGAAATATGTACATCCTCAGAAAAAGTTGGAAAATTTTCGGCGAGCCTTAATTTACCGAAATTAGGGTAGTACGTTAGGGTTTGGTGGTAAAGTACTAGAACGGGGTACTTGAGGTTAATGAAGTTGAAGTTTGGTACAAAAATAAAATTTTCTTCTCTTTTTCCGCCAAAGATATGATGAAAAATATTAAAAGGTGATCCTTTCGTTCGGCAAAAATAAAAACACAAATTTATTTGCAAAACTCTTTTCGGAGAACGTTAATTTTTTGGTGCGTTCTAATGTAGGTATATCCTTGCCTACACATGTACCTATGTATGTATATGCCACCTATCTCAAGTCGAATTTACTACAGCTATGTATTATTAAATTTTGTTATTGTTCCAGTCAGCAAATTTTGGGCAAATTTCATTGTTTCCATGGTTAATGCACACTAAAGCAAATCACGCTCCAATAACTCTGCTGCATGCGCACCTATCAATTTATGCACATGTGTATGTGTGCGTTGGTACATGAATTTGCTAAGCGAATTTGCATTAATCATACGCCCTGCTGTACGACATTGAACCGATGATTAATTAATTTACTTACTTATTTATTTACTATGCAAGCATTTAATTTCGTTCCAAATTTATTTATGAGCCACAAACAAAAACAAACAAGCATTTTACGAGCTAACACGTTTGCAATTTTCGAACAGTGACCGGCGGCGGCGGCAGTAAAAGTGGCAGCAGCAAAATAAAAAGCAAAAAAAAAAAAAGTTTAGCCGAGCAACAAGTTCAAATAAAAGTGCGCAGCCAATCACCTAAACCCATTTGAATTGCATGCAGGCGATTGGAGGAGCACACGCGCCCCAAATGTCTAGAAGCCTCAATTAAATATTTGCTTAATATTCTTTATTGAATTCTGCTCTCCATCGAGTGAGTCAAACGCCCGCTATGCAGCACTCAGGTATGTACTTAAAAAAAAAAAAAAAAAAAAACAAAATTGTTGCATGCAACTGCGCTAATAAACTGTGTGTTTATATTTGTCTTTTTGAATTCGTTAAACTCAGAGCAAAACACTTATTTTTTTTATTTATTTATTCTAACCAAAACACTGTCTAATATTTATTCGTACGAGCGCGTGTCGCTAATAATTTCTTTATCTTCCAGTCACCAGTCTACCAGCAATAAATATCTAGTCATTAACCATTCATTGATAATTGAGTTTTCGTTATTTGTGCTGTTGTTGTTGTTGTTGTTGCTGTTTCTGTCTGTCCCTTAATCTATTTATTTGGGCAATAGCGTGTGCGTTTACTTACCCAAATCCAGTGAATCGCATGCTTCTGATGTGTCTGTATGTGTTATGCTTGTCACTAGCGTCGACGCTGAATCCGTTGATGTATTGATGTTGGCATCGGTTATGGAAGCTGATGAGGAACCCATTATGACAACCTGGCAGAGTAGAGAGTGTTTATTGCTGATGCAAATAGATAGCGGCAATGTGTTGCTGGGCTTTTAGTTTAATCATTAATATTACCCAATTTTTGATAAATGATAATGAATTATGTGACCGGTTTTGATAAATGATATAAATGATGGGCGGTACATGTGCAAAAAACAAACATTAGATAATCGAATTTTCGGAATTTGTATGAATTATTCATGGTTTCATTTAACCTATAATCATTTCACTAAAATGTTGGAATTTAAGTGAAAGTTAAATTTAATTAATTTTCGGCTATGTGTCACACTTAGACTGGCATAGATTTGTCCTAGGCATCGTTGAGGATGTAGTTAAATGCTTTAAGCGAATCTAATGCGAGCTTGTGATGCCAGTTTTCAGACTGGCTCCATCCGTTTCCTCACGGTGATTTTTATCTTACTTAAATGTGTAAGCCGTGAGTAGAAAGTGAGCTTTTTGCAAGCTTGACAATGTTCTACAGTATTTTCACGAAAATTTCACTACGAATAGAGTTTATCTACCGTCGTTTGGTTCTAGCTAGTAGGTTGAAGTAAAATTTAGCTCTACGATTTTTTTAGTTTTTTTTTAGTTGCTAGAAGCACTGACATACATACTAGTTATGTTGAGACTCGGGAACTGTGGAGATCCGCAACGCTTCTTTAACTTGAATCATTGATCTTTATAAATGCCTCAATAGTTAATTTCCACCAAGCCTTAACTGCAGTTTATGCCTGTTGGAAATAGTTGATTGCAACTCGAAGTAGGAAATTGCTCAAATTAAGTAAAGGCAAGCGAAAAAAGCAATAATTACGAAATAAACCTTTCCGATCATGTTTTTGTTAAAATCGTCGTTATTTATCTGAGATCTTAACTGCAGACAAGCCCTTTGTGGAAATGGGCTTTAAAGGTATCGAACAAAGTTCACTGTTACCATCGTTTTTGCTCCTTGGCACAGTCTCTAGTCGGGAGCCTTCAACTAGGCGCAAGCAGCGAGCTATTTTACCCTCCGCATGGCTCACAACATCTTGGAGCCAACGCTGGCCTGCATGCAGAACAGTTGTCTGAAGCGTGAGGAAGCCTGGGTAGGTAAAGAACATGATCAGCGATGCTAAATTGGCACAAAGACTAATGGTTAGTGGCGCGAGCTCAAAAGCCGGCTACCAAGTGGCTAAGTTTGCTTGGGGGGGATCTTTCAAAGCCGATAATTGGAAAGTGTTTAGAAAAATCACTACACAGACCATTTTCATGATCCCGAATGCTTTAGAACGCGACAGAAAGGGTGGTGCCATCTCGTCAGTATTATGATTACTTCTAAGTAGTGAAATTACCGAACGGCGCCACCTCAAATTGATTGGCTGTGCTACCAAAGGTCTTCCCCTTCGTCCACGGATACATGTCTGACTTCATGTCAAGTTCTCTGAGCCTGGGGATATTGAGGAAGGCCTCAGGTATTGCAATCCAAATTTTACCATTCGCCTCGACCTGACCATTAGCCTCACTAAACCTTCTCAATGCTGATTCGCTTGGTTCTCTCATAAATCAGCTGCGGCTTAAATCAGGTAGACTTCTGCGTTTTCCAATGCGATGTGAGAGGGATATCATTCAGCCCCTATATATTTAGTCAAGGAGAACATAATAATGAATGAGCTCGCAGCAGCATGGGGGTGAATTTACCCTCAGTCTGTCGGACACCAACAGCACTGGTAATGTGTGCTCTTTCGGTGGGTGCGTTATCAGCCTTGGATTGATATTCGCGAATATCGAAGATGAGGAACCGAAGTTAGCGCTGATGAAAGGAAAATTCTGTGCTAAAAATTATTCTTCAACATATAAGTCGGTTTACATGTGTTATAAAAAATACATTTTTGTTATTCTGTAACTCAGCTCTTACTATCAATTAGGTAAACTATAGTGCAATAAGTTGAACCCACTAAGAATAAGGGATAGTTCATTGAGCTGAACAAACTAGAAGTGAAGTAATCTTGCCTAGGGTATCAGGGTATATAGCGCTGCGACCTCTCTCAGCCTGAGAAAACGTCTTTATAGCATAAAGTCTGAAAGCCTGGGCTGATATTAGGTCCATCTGTCCGCAACATAATAAGTCTGGCTGGGAAAAAGTGGTTAATAGTCTTTTACATCTCTTATGTGTTAGCAGCTAATTTACTGATTTCCTAATGACAAATAGTTCTGTCAGGAAAACACTACATATAGTGATCTGTAAGGGTAAATTTGAGTTTGTTGGGGAGCATTAGCATTTTCCCACTCACCTTTGGTACTGCAGCAGTGCCGGCAGCCGATGTTGGTGGCAGTCCGCCACTTATCGACGTGTGAAATGCAGCAGCTGCCGTAGAAACGGCGTTCAACGGTATACTGGTCATCGAAGTGGTAGCCGTGGAGTTCATTTTTGATTTACGGCCACTCTTGAAATAAAAGCGACGCAACGCAGTGGCCGATGAAGATGACGAGGTGTTGAAGCCGTCATTGTCCGAGCTGCTAGAAGCACTGCCACCACTGCCAAAACCAGCACCAACGCCAGTGCCACCATTCATATGCACAGCTGCAACGGTGGTGTAACGCGTATTGTCCGTATTGTTGCCGGCATTGCGTTGCACCGAATTCGGTGATTTGTTTGTGACACCGACTGGTGGTGGTGGGCTAAAATCGGAGTTGGTGTTAGAGTTTGCGTTGATGCTCTTGTTGTTGCTATTGTTGGTGTTGTTGGTGTTTCCAGTAGTTGTAGCAGCCGTTGTTGTTGTTGCTGCTGCTGCTGCTGACGTTGCAGCACTTCTCGGCCGATGGCCCAAAGCGAGTGCCATCATGGCAGCCGAGCGAGTGGAAGCGTAACAGCTGGAAGCGGTGCACGGTTTGGTGATGGAGGTAATGGTGGAACCACCTTGCGTTGTTTGCGTAACCGAAACGGTCATGGCTTGGAAGTTGTTAGCGGCAACGCCTGCAAGATAACGATGTAATTGGAAATGTAGTGAATTGGCTGATGAAATTAGTAGGCAAATCTGTGTGTGGATATGCAGCAAGTCCAAGTGCGTAATGCACTTATAACCGCTTGAATATATTGTGCAATTAGCTAGTTATTTTGGCTTTTGTGTACGAGCTTAGGCCAGCATGTAATTTGGACAAAGTCCTTCAAAGGTTATAATTTTGGTAATTTGCATAGAAATAGCGCAAGCTTTGTTGATTCATGGCTCCTCAATAAGACAGTGCGTATGTATGTTGTTGCATATGCAAATGTGTATGGAAGTTATTTACTGGTGCCTGACCTAAGTAACAGCAAATTAGCTAACGTCCCTCAAATCGCCGACCACAAGTATGCCGGCGATCAATGTCAAGCTGTCATTGAAGTTGCTTAGCTGCCTTGGCATTAACCGCCTTTCACTTGCAAGATGTGTGCCATCATTCGGTATGCCGCATCACTGCGTAAATCACAGGTTGAGTAATTGCGGTAACACAAATATGCATGTATGTGTGTGTGTGTGTGTGTGTTTATGGATTAACTGCACGCAGGTAATTGATGTTGTGTAATTGCAAGTACAAATCAACAGGGTGCTTCGAAAGCAAATATTCTATACAAAGTATTTGATTGCGATGTATTTTAAATTACTTAAATTATTTCGAACTAGGTAAAATTCGAGCATCACACAATGTGTAAAACATGAAATCTTAGGAGTATCTTTTCATTCGACTTTTATTGACTTGTATTTCAGAAGGCTCAAATACTTAATTTTTTTTTTAACAGGGTTGCGTCTAACGTCTTTTGAATGAATACCCAATTTATTTGAAATTATCTTTTAATTTAAAATTAAATGAGGTAATTAAAATGCTTTAACGCCTGCTATGCGTCCAGAAGTCCAGAAATGGAAAACCAAACTTATCATCTTATTCTCATAAAATCAACGAGACTTGTTAGTAGCATCGATCAGCCTCCGAAAGACCATTGAACTGAAAAAAGGTTAGGTCTAATTAGACGCTCGTAAAGGAGTTGAAATGACTGAAATCCTTGGCATCTCTAAACATATCCATGAACTTCAAGATGAATATCATCAAAAGAGTTGACCCACACGGAAATGCATGGCCGAATATGTATCAACCTGTAGAAGTCCAGCTCATGGAGGCGAAGTTTGAGGTCGACTGTGGGAGATGTTTTTTTGACAGAACTTGGCTGCGGCTAACTACATGAAGTTCTTCGCCGGAGTGCAGCATGGAGCAATTCCTCGTCAAACCCTGGTTATCTTAATATGGATTCCATTGAGGATTTAAGATATGAAGTAACGGGTGATTTTTTTGAGGTTAGGATTTTCATGCATTAGTATTTGACAGATCACGTGGGATTTCAGACATGGTGTCAAAGAGAAAGATGCTCAGTATGCTTTGACATTTCATCATGAATAGACTTACTAACGAGCAACGCTTGCAAATCATTGAATTTTATTACCAAAATCAGTGTTCGGTTCG